TATTCACTGACGATATTGACATCTGCCCTGACTTGTTCAAGAACCTTCAAGAGTGAAGAACGAACGAATCATTCTTTTGAGTTGGATCTTTAAATGAATCGGTTGATCCAGGTTCACAAAAGCAGCCTGAATGATTTGTTTATGATTCGGTTTCGTTAAACAGGAGAAGATTATGTAAGGGTTAATGCCAGAGGTGGGGACAAGTCACACACGGTCAAGTCCAAGCAAGTCTCAAGTCTTAACCATCAAGTCTCGAGTCAAGTCTCAAGTCGCAGTTCAGATAAATCAAGCAAGTCAAGTCAAGTCAAGGGTTCACCCTAAGCAAGTCAAGTCAAGTCCTGATAAGTTTCAAGTAAAGTCAAGTCACACTACTAAAATAAATAGAGGTAAATTTTTTCGATACATATTTATTTTTGCACAGAAAAGATGAACTTTTATACATATATTATGTATCTTACATTTGCTATATTAATCATATGCATATCTGTGCTACATTAATATCTGAAAATAAAATAAAATTGTGTTGTTTACACAAAACGTTCAGAGTCTAAGATGTATCGATTCTAAGATGTATAATCCAATCTGTCTAATTTAATTTAATTGAAACGGTCTAAAATGTATGAAATCTAAAATGTAATATCTTATATCTTATATAAATGTAAAATATAAAATGTATGAAATGTATGAGAATATAAAATGCAATTTTTTTTTAATTCAGTAGTTTTTCTTATCATAGCCAACAAATGTCTTCGGAAACTCCTTTTCCTCGATTTACTGAAACCTATATGTAAAACGCATTTGCAGCTGCACAGCCGTGTATATATCTATGCTGCATATACAGCCATCCCAACCTGTTATATTAACATATTTGAAATATGTTTAAAATAAATATAAAATAAAAATGGTAATATGTTATATTAACATATTTTATATTTAATAAATATTACATATTAAATAATATTATGTATATTATATATTAAATTTACATAAATATTAACAAATGATTGTTTTAATTATGGAATTCTCCATAATTAACTCCTAAACTTCAGTAGAGAACAATTCTTTGTAAGGAAGGAGGGGTTTCTTTATTGTACATTTATTTGCATGTAGTATGTAGCATATGGTTTGCGTTGCTTTAAATTGGTCAGTACAGCGCTGACTATTGAGTGTCGCTAGGAAACACGTCCGCGCTGCGCTGACGAATCGGCTGCGCGGCTCGGATCATTGAACCGTGCAGATGACATGTCTGCGCGGCACGAGCTCTGTAAAGCCCCGCTGTCTCGTCCCACTTTTGGTTTGTTTGGCTTCCCATATCTCTGCCGTGCACACGCCGCACGCTATGTATGTTATACGCGCAGTATCTCGCTCTAGATTCCGGGAGATTTTAACTCATTTGCGGGCATCAGGGAGACGCTATCAATATGCGTGAGACTCCCGGAACTTCCGTTTGGCGCGGTTTGAATTGAGCAGCGTAAAGGCACAGATGCCGATTGATGCTGACGTCATAATATATATTTTAATTAACTGTATTGCTGTTTGTTTATTATATGTTCAAGTCATTGTCGAGTCTTCCACTTCAAGTCAAGTCAAGTCTCAAGTAACTTGTTCTCAAGTCAAAGTCAAGTCAAGTCATTTTTGTACTTTAATCAAGCAAGTCACAAGTCCTGAAAATTGTGACTCGAGTCAGACTCGAGTCAAGTCATGTGACTCGAGTCCCCCACCTCTGGTTAATGCCCGACAAGGTGTCCATTGTCCGGTTGGTTGTCTCCGCCCAAAGTCTATTAAGGGCCAATCCCAATTCTACCCCTTACCCCTTCACCTTCGCCTTCCCCTTGACCCTTGAAACAGAGTGGCAATGCGTAGGGGTGAAAATATTCCCCTAAGAAATGGGACACCACTACGCCTAACGTTAAACGTCATTATAAGTCGTCGCTAGCGCCTACGTCACAGGAGATGCGCCGATGTTTATCACAACTTCCAAGATGCCGTCGACAGCTGCAGTTATCTCAGTCGCGTGGGTTACAGCTATTTTCTTGCATTTATCTTGTGAAGTTCGCAGGAAACAATGGAGACGACGAAAATATGTTGCGGGACTATCGTTAGCAAACTACAGTAATTTTAGCGATTTTTTTTTTTTTTTTTTTTTTTTTTTTTTTTTTTTTTTTCTTCTTTAACAAACGTTTCTGTGAAGAAACTGACCGTAAATATGAACACAATATTGAATGTAACATAAAGAAAATCATTGTTTGTCGTTACAATACTTATTAAAGCCACAAATACTCAAATTTATGGGTCTCCTTTGTTGCTTGGGCAGCCAGCCTGGGTTAGCAGTGACACTTCTCATACCCCTTCGTTTGACGTGTGCTCCCGAAAAATCTTCGTTTGAAGGGCTATCTGGCCCTTCTCCCTAGCCCTCCCCCTCCAACCAAAAGAGAATTGGGACAACCCTACCCCTTCACGTGGACGCGCAAAACGGAGGGGAAGGGGAAAGTGAAGGGGTAAGGGGTAGAATTGGGATTGGCCCTAAAGGTCCCGTTTTATGCCCCTTTTCACAAGATGTAAAATAAGTCTCTGAGGTCTCCAGAATGTGTATGTGAAGTTTCAGCTCAAAATACCCAGCAGATCATTTTTTACAGCATGTTTAAATTGTCATTTTTTGGGGGGCTCAGAAAAACGCGCTGCTTTAGTGTGTGCCCTTTAAATGCAAATAAGCTGCTGCTGCTGCCGGCACTGGGGGGCGGAGCTTCATGAGGTTGCACTCAGTCTCTCAGGACAATTTCATCTCGAGGAATGATGATAATATCAGAAACTCTCAGTAACTGTGTTCATTTTGAGTCGGACAATAATGCCTACAGAGTCAGACTGCTGTATAGAGATGGAACAGGTATAGTTTAGTAGTTTAATTATGGTTATTATAACGTATTTGTCATCTGCTTGTATGTATCCATTATTTATTAATAGCCCACAAGTTTGCTGTTTCGGACCAGGTCAGAATGATGATCAAACATATACTGATGATTTTAATAAAGTTTATTGTACATCACACAAAAGATGAAGCGTCAGTTTTACTTCAGAAAATCGGCGTAAGAGCTGAGTAAACACAGAAGTGCGCGAGTTGAGGGAGCATTCCTGTGGGCGGACGTTAGTAAAAAAAAAACTGTTCAACTGACATCATTAAAGAAGGAAGTAGAGGGATGTTGTCCAAACGGGCCGTTCGATGTAGGCTACTTCTGTTAAATAAAATATCTCGCTTGGCATTGAACTTTTACAGATATTATTTATACTCTAACAACAACATTACACACTAACTAAAGTTTGAAACAGGGGATCACGAAGAACGGGACCTTTAATACCTATACAATGGACACCTCTAAGGACATTAACCCGCTTATACCATGGTCACTCGCAAATAACACATTTTTAAAACATTAGATTTTAATTATTTTTATAATAACAAACAATAACGTCGTTTCCATGGTTACGCCTGACGGTTTATTTAGCAACCGGAGATATTTATAGTCCGCTCAGCTCGGAGAACCCTTCAGTTTAGCTAACTATGAGGCAGAAACTTAACATTTTTCATGTAAGTTAGGCTTGTCTAGCCATGGGCGTTACACTTTCATTTTTTTTAACCTATGGTTATTCTATTCAGTCCCTCCAGGATTTCACGATTTTTTTTTTTGTGATTTTTGCGATCAAAATGACTGATTTTGTGGTGGTAATTTCCAAAAATTTGTGAAAAAATTTGCGATTTATATTTAACATTTACCATAATAGTATTCAGTCCTTCCAGAAAAACGCGGAGTTTTTTTTGTGATTGTTGCGGGCAAAAATTGATCGATTATGCGGCCAGTTTTCTTTAAAAATGCCATGGAATATGTGGGATATTTATGCAATTTTATGCGATGAAATTGCTGGAATTTGCAAAAATTGAGGGAACTTGCAAAAATTGCGGTTTGATGAAAAAGAGAAAAAAGTGATTCCCCCAACATCATGTTAATATAAGAGTCATTTCTTATTAATTCCTTTGATAAACAAGCATACTACATCATAGAAAGTGCTGGGAATATTTAATTTCTCATCTTGTTTTATTTCAGACTGTAAGAGTGTAAATAAGGTGTGGCCCCTTTAAGAGCTGCGCGCTCCCTGTTGAACTCTCTGCAGTGTTATATGTGCGCCTCAAACACCCCATGTGTGCGGGTAATTTCTGTTTGATGCTACTACTTTTATCTTATGTTGTTTATTAAGTAACGATGTGACGGTAGAACGTGTGACAGACAGTTATACGAGTTCGATTTGTGATGTCAATCGCCTCCGCGAGTCTGTCTGGCGTCGCGTAATTGCGTCACTTCATAACGTTCCCATGGAAACAGGGGGAAATGGCTGCTCTTATGTGAAGCAAACGCAACATTTTTCAACTTTCTGCTAAGATACATGTGACTTTTTTTTGCAACGAAAATGCGAGGATTATGAAATTATGCAAACCCCGCATATTTTGCACGGAAATCGGCAATTTATGCGGCGAAAGTGTGGCGTATTTGAAAAAATGCGGCCCCCGCATAAATATGCGGAATTTGGCTGATTTTGCATTGAATTCAGCGATCGCATAATCGCGTTTTTCTGGAGGGACTGTCTATTGGTTATGCTATGGTTAGTCGCAGCTGAGGTAGCCAGCGCATTTGTTGATTAATTTCGAACGTTAAACAGTCAGTTTCACCAGAACTCCTTTACTAGGTGTCCTCTATCACTTTTTAATGTACACCCTGCAGCCAATCAGAATCGAGTATTCACCCTGATCATGGTACAAACGTTAATAATAACTTATTTTTCACTGGAGACGGATAGTCGTTTGGGTTTGGAATGACACCAGTATGAGTGAATGATGAACTAACTTGCGCAAACTAACCATTTAACGGTTACGGATACTAATTCAGTCTTACCTAGAAGATCACTGATATAATATTAACTGATCAATGTCTGTGTGTGGTTATGATGTTTAGGACGGTGGTGATGCCAATTGCTCAGGAGTTTTCCCCAGACGTGGTGTTGGTCTCTTCAGGGTTTGATGCCGCAGAAGGACATCCCGCTCCTTTAGGAGGATACAAAGTCACTGCGAAATGTAGGAAACTTCTGCGCTTATATAATATCCTTATCCTTATAATGTCGGACTGAGGCGGTAACGCTGTTATTTGTCTCCTGGCAGGTTTTGGGATTTTGACTCGGCAGCTGATGACGTTAGCAGGAGGACGCGTGGTTCTGGCATTAGAGGGAGGTCACGACCTCACAGCCATATGTGATGCATCTGAGGCCTGTGTCAGCGCCCTGCTGGGCCTAGAGGTCAGATTTCACGCATTCCCCTGGCCAAATACTTTATAACACATATATTATACCTTAATAACCCTGTTATAGCATTGCCGTTAACAAATACTGAGGGATCTTGTTATGTAAGGGTGTTAACATGACTCTTCTGGCTAAGTCTTGTATGACGTGATCTTTGTTTTAAAGGAAAATCAAAAAACACAGTTTTTCATCTGGTTTTCTGTTAGGATTCTCTTCCCGAGTCGACTCTGCTGCAGACGCCCAATGCCAACGGAGTGCTTTCACTGCAGAGAGTCCTGCAAATACAGAGTGAGTGTCTCTCGTCCCGGTCTGCCTCTAATTATCCTGAAATGCACTGGCTTCCTGGTAGCACACATTGTTTAATTCTTCGTAATTCATTATAATCATGATCAGCGTTGTTTCACCACATGGTTCCCGCTCTGCCAAAATATTCCAATAAAAACAACGGTTTGGGACGCGTTACGTGGCGTACACCACCTCTCTCACGTGCTACTGCCATTATCTGCCTGCAGTCAACAGTCTGTTGTCATTCACACAGTTTCAAGACTTTCTCTCTTCAGTTCAACACAATTGAAATCTTTTGCAGAATTTCTGAGCCTGAAAGTGAACTGTGATTCAGACAAAGTCTAAAAATCAACAACATTTTTTTTTAAATGTAATTAAGTAATATTATTTATAGGGATTACTCTGTAATTAAATTACAGTTACTTCTGATGTAAATGTATTAACAATAGAACAATTCTATATAAACAATAGTGGATTAAACATCAAATGTTAAAATTAGGGCTGTCAAACGATTAATCGCGATTAATCGCATCCAAAATAAATGTTTTTGTTTACATAATATATGTGGGTTTTAGTTATTTTATATATATAAATACACACACATGCTTGTATATATTTAAGAAATATTTTCATGTATATACTGTATATAGATTTATACATAATTCATATTATATATATAACTATTTTATATATAAATAATATTTTTTTCTTAAATATACATGCATGTGTGTGTATTTATATATACACAAAATAATTATACACAGTGCACCCACATATATTATGTAAACACAAACTTTTATTTTGGATGTGATTAATGTTATTAATGACATTAATAACATTAATCACATTATTAATGATTAATGTTATTAATTTTAACACCCCTAGTTAAAATATATATATATTTTTTTATTGTTACCTCTCCATTTGAATACTTTGGTCAGTTTAAGAATAATTATAGCAAATTATTTATTTGAAAGATTAAAAGAGTCGTTTTGTGTTGTGTTGTTAGACTGGTTGATATTTACAGTATAAGTGATTTAGCAATACTTTTTAGAGAGAGTAATTAGTACAGTAATCTGTACTGTTGAAAATGTAATTAGTAGCTAATAATTAATTACTTTCAGAGTAACTTACCTAACACTGGTAGTGTATATTTTGAGGTCATATCTTTGTTTGAAGAACCGACCAAAAAAGCTGTCATTAATGTTCTCTAATGTCCCTGAGGCTCAACTGTACTTGCTTGAGGTGCAAGAACAAACCTGCAAGTCAAGAACTATTTGATGTGCTTATTTATGTGTGGGGCTGTGCAAAAATTAATTGCGATTATTCGCATCCAGAATAAAAGTCTGTGTTTACATAATATATTTGTGTGTGCTGTATATAATTATTTTGTATATATAAATACACATACATGCATGTATATATTTAAGAAAATGTGTTATTCATATATAAAATATTTATATTTATATAATACAGATTATGTATTTATATATACATATATATATATATATATATATATATATATAGAATTTAAGCACAAATAATTCTTAAATATATACATGCATGCATAGGTATTTATATATACAAAATAATTATATACAGCACACACAAATATATTATGTAAACACAGACTTTTATTTTGGATGCGATTAATCGCAATTAAATTTTGCACAGCCCTAGTTTTTATGTGAATAAAAGCCTAACTTAAAATCTGTTTATCAAAGTTTTGGTGGAGGGACAGATATTTCTCAGGTCTCATTTAAAATGTCTTCATCTGAGTTTTGAAACAAGAAACAAGGAAAACAAGTCTGTTTGGAATGAAATTAGTGTGAGTCAATGATGACAGCATTTTAATGTTTGGGTGAACTATCCCTGTAAATTCTAGTTTTTTCGTCACACTACTGATTTGCAGTTACTTTTTTGTACTTTCTGGAGTTTCATTTTATGGAAATGAGCAGCTTTGACATTCTGCAAAAGATCTTTTTTGTGATTCACTTGGTAAAGAAAATCATACAGGCTTGGACGTAATGGCCGAAGTAATATTTCTGAGTGAACTATTCCTTTAATTGTTTGCTGCCAGTATGCCTGTAGTCCTACCTGTTAACAGTGTAGTCTCGTCTTCTGTCTCAGGTCAGTATTGGTCGTCACTCAAGCCGTTGGCGGGCACAGTGGGTATGTCGTTTCTGGGTGCCCAGAGGAAAGACTGTGAGGAAACAGACACCGTCAATGCCATGGCGTCCCTCTCCGTGGGGGTCTTGACCAGCAAAAGGTGCGTCACGATGAAGACGTTTTGCTAAATGGAATTAATACAATTTGTCATTCCTCTATAGTGCTCAATCCTCTTCTGAACACAATATGTTTGGTAATTTACAGTGTAACTATTATTTAAAACTTTAAAATAAACTATAAAGTTAAATAAAGCTATTGAAATAAAGCTGAGTAATAGTAATATTTCAATAAAAAACATTAAAATTACTAAAATTAAAGATATATATATATATAATATTCAAAATATGAATAAGAACTACATAAATACTACTAAAATAGCATAGGGATTTGCAACACGTTCTTCAACTGAGTTTACTCACCAAAAAAAATCAGCCAAATTATCCCACAGGATTTTGTTTTTACAGAAAGAGGCAAATCTGTAATCCAAACTAATTCATGCTAATGTTTTCATAGGTGACCAATTCCCATCTAGTCTATTGTGGGCGTTTCACTGCTGTAGGAAATTATGCTTTTGAAGCATTCTTAGGCATAACAACCGCATGGTACTTGTTTGATGCTAAACATAGACCTAATTTTTTTACAGCCTTGCTGATGAACCCATGGAGCACGACGACGACTCCCTTTAAACCAGGTCTTTACTCGTCTGAAAAACTGTCCAGTACCAAACGCCGCTCCACATGACGTGAACGAGCCGTGCCTCAGACCAGCAGTGCCTCAGGGGGCGTGGCTTCCTCATCATGGCCCCTCCCCCAAGACGCCACCTCAACACTGACCACCAGCGCAGCGCGGCTAAGCTAACAACACAGCTACAGTTCGGCTGGGACTCTGGGATCCACTTCATCGTCTCCATTCAAGAATCATGCAAACAATCACACTAGAACGCATGAGGCCTCTTCGTGCGTTAGTGTGTTTGTAACGTTCTCTAAAAGGACGCGCTCGCGAAGTCGCAAATATTCACCTCTGGTGCCTCAAAAGAGACTATTTACTTTAGCTGGAGATGCGAAACCAGATTTGTGGGAACAGTTGAGGATTATTTAACCTTTTTTAAAGGCAGCCCTCTTTAATACCCCTGACAAGTGAACTATTGAAGTGCTGAGAGAAAATAAGGGGTTTCCTTGCACCTGGCAACCGCAAAGTGGCTCCACTCTATGATGTCATTACTATTAACCAATTTAACCACTAAAGAAGGAGAAGAAGAAATAACGATCTCGACAACTGTGGGTTTTATAAATCTTAATTTTTTTTGCACTGTGCATTCCATAATGTGAAATTTTCCAAACTTCTGGGAAAAGAAAGATCTAATTCTGTATCTAGTTTGACGCTTAACATTCTTTTAAAGTGAAGCAAAAAAACAAACAAACAGTTGCATTCTTTGTCAAGTTCAGATTACATTCGACCTGCATTCCCAGCCCGAAAGCCGTAAACCTGAAAACTTCAAGATACTTCTTTGTACTGATTCTGTACATCTGATGTTTTTAAAGGCCAGAGGGACTATTAGCAAGTTTATTGCACACACACACACACACACACCTAGCCAAAACACACACATATATGTCCATATGTCGCATCCAAATGACCACTGTACATTTAATATCGTGGACACAGGAAGTGCTTACACTCTCCCTAGACTAACTATAACGCAAAGTAGATCAGTCTCTCTTTAGACCAAACTAATATGAGTATGATTTGTATATGTGTGTGTCCATGTGTATCTATCAGTCATATATTTAGTCTGTTCTGTATTTACAACCAAACCTCAATTGACCACAAGCAAAAACGCAAAACGACAATTGAATGGGCTCTCGAAGCCACTTTAACGTTAAATCAATTCTCTGTATTTTTCATTGATCTTTGTTGTTTTGGACAAGGGAAACATCCAGCCTTTTAACCTGTGGAGGAGACGTTTCTAAAGTGTTTGTGCATTTAATGAGTTTACTTCATTGCTGTGCACTTCTTTTTCTTTCTTTTTTTTTACGAGGGATGCATTGTTTTTGGATGGCGTTCTGTTTTCCACAGCCTGCATATAGATGTATAATTCACACCAGTTGTGTGGATGAACTTTATAGTGATATTAAATATGTCTCTCGGCCGCTGGGATTCACATTTACGCCATCTTCAATGAACCAAAATGAACATCACACCAACCGTTGACTGAAGCGGACAGACTCTTCGAATGCTGTGCCACTCATCAGCACATTCGGTTTAACACTTATTTAGCCTTTCAAAACAAATGTTTTGCCCAAAATATGGTTGGCTACATTCTAGTTGCGTAATCCTACCAGGTCAAACCACCGAGAATAATGCGCTGTAAGTTATCTTCCACATGCTGTATCAATATCTCACGGTTAAAGTCTGGATGGTCGGCTAGCGGGACTGGCAGAACAGCTCATGGTGCTTGTTTGACTTTTGCGTTGTGCTTTCGGGGTGATGAACGCACCCTACGACTTGATTTCAAGTGTCGGATTTGTTCCGTTATTCAGCATGACTTGGATGACAATGACCAAATCTTATCTTTTTTGAGTCTGCACAACCATTTACCTCTGTATTTACAACCAAAATACAGCGTTAACATGCTTTCTTGCGTTCACTACAAGAAACAATCGTGACCTGACAAATTGCTGTTATTGTGTAATAAAATAGAGGCATTCCTATAAAGATTTCCACAATGCTGCAGCTGCACCTGCCCGACCAACGAGTCTTTACTTCCTCCCTCTTTTGCCTCGTACCAAACCACTGTGGATAGTTATGCGCTTGTATGATTCCATGTAAATAGCACCAACCTCCCGTTTATCGATGTTTTGTGTTCATATGGCTGTTTTCATGAAGACCCTGGGTAGCCTTTGCCCATCAGACCCCCATGAAGACTGTTGTAAAATAGAGCGTAATGAAGTCATAGCTAATCTCTAAACTAGCAGCAATCTTGCTGCATATTTATAGTACTTCAAACGGTGCACTTGCATATTACCATCCACAAAACACACCTGTTCACCTTCAACGTTTGATAAAAACCAGAAATCGCCTGATTGCGACTAAATTCGACAGCACGCACTTAGTGAAAGTTTCGCCGTGTCGTTTCGAACCGCGAATACAAACAGATCTCGACATTCCCTGGCAGTTTCGGACACTGCTATGCGTCTTATATACAGTTATATTCCAGTGGTGTATTTTTACAATAGCTTTGTGCATTTTTACTGTTTCGATATACCTCTCAAAGCGTTTGTATTCTCTCGTCTCTCCGAACCCTTTATGAAGTAAAATGGAGAGCGTGTGCTGTTGTCTTCACTCCTGTAAAAGCAAACCAGCGCCGTCTTAATTCCTCTCTCATTTATTTCCCTTCTCCTTGTTGTATGGACGATGTAAATAGTTACCAGTACCACCAGAGAGACTTCACCGATGTGCCTTGAAGTACTTCACCTGTCGACCCCACTAACTGGATCTGTTTAACAAAGAATAACAGAAATTATGTTTTCGAATCTTCCTGTGCTTAACGATTCCCTTGTTAATTTCAGACTTCTTTTATTTCTCTGTGTATAGAAAAGAATGTCTATTTTGTACTGTTTCTATCTTCCTAATTAAAATGAAAGCATTTTTTTTTCTTTTGCCTGAATTTCGTTCGGCTTTGTCATTTTTATTTGTTCATTCTGGTGCTCTGAACATCAAATACCAGTGAACTGAATCAAATGAATCAAATGTGTCACATGTGGACATCCATCTGTTTTCTATTATTTGTCAAAAATTCACTCAGATCTACAGCTTGATCTTTTTATTATTCGAATGTAGCATTGCCATTACAAAAATACTATGGAAACCACAATACCTGCAATCTCCTCCAAAATACAAATGTTGTTACTACACTGTAAAAACATTAAATGATCAATAAGTTATGACAAAATATGTTTTTACATTGCTTTAACTCATCAAAATAAGTTAAGTTAAAACTATTTTATTTAAGTCAGTTTTGGTGATTGTACTTAAATTTTTAATTTGCTCATCCAAAAACTAAACACATTTACACTATATATATATATATATATATATATATATATATATGAAATTAATGAAATGCGTCACATGTGTACATACATCTGTTTTCTATTATTTGTCAAAAATTCTCTCAGATCCTACATCTTTTTGTTATTTCAACAAAGGATTATCATTACAAAATATATTTTGGAAACTAAAATGCCCGCATTCTCCACCAAAATACAGCTGTTTTTACTTATGTAAAACTGGTCATTTGGTAATTTAGTCATCCAAAAAAAAAAAAACTTATACTCAAATCCTCTTACACTTTTTAAAGGAGATGGCATATGAGTTTTTTAGTCTTTTAATATTAACTGTTGCCATGATCAATTTTGATAAAAGAATGAACCAGTATTGCTCACGCACACAACCATGAAATGTGAAATACTTGTTCAAATATGAGCGCGGGACGCCTGAAACCACTGGATCATCAGCAGTTCATCTGGTCACTGGCTCCTTCTGTAACACGTTTGGACTTCTGCTTTAGTTTGGGCCACTATGGCAGTGTGTTTTGCAGTGATCTTCAAACATACATCTTGTAATTGCCTTACCTAATTTACACATAGTAAACAGCAGAACATGGCACTTTTGTGGTGAGGCGGTCTGTCTTATTTCTTGCCAACCAGACATATATTCATTGAAGCCTCAAAATAAAAGGATAATGCCAAGTTTATGTGCAAACCACGTTTAGCCAGCACTTTATTCTAATAAAGTAATTAGCAGTGTCTGTCTGGCTGGATCCTAAAGAAATCGTACTAGCAGAACGTCAACAACTTTCTCAGGGTTTTTTCCCCCCTGGATCAAAATTCTTCTAAATAGTTTTTGACAGTTTTTATTGTGCTGAAAGGCAGTAACATACTCATAAAGTAACTGTCAGATAACTTACTTTTATGCATTTGCTATTCACCAAGTCGTCATATTGTAGATTTAATCTCTTGAGCTTTATTTATTTTTAAATGCGTAACAACCTTTATACATTTAGACAAATGTGGTATATATACCATGACAAAATTGTAACACTGTCACAAAAGCAATAATGTTGGCTAATATACAGCATAAATGGCAAGCGCAACAACTCTGAAATGATCGGATCTGTATATCAGAGAATATAGTGAGTCTACGTAGCATTTTTCCATCAGGCTAAGGTTAGCTATACATGAAGAGTCCTTATGACAGTCAATGTCTGCCTCTGTGCCTCCATACACACTGATCTCAGATCAGCACTCTGCCATTGAATCAGAGTCGTTTCCAGAGTTTGATACAGAGTCTGCGTTTAGATACGGACCACCGCTGGTGTCTGTTCCACTTGAGGGTCGTTTTTTGCATTTTGTTGTATAGCTCCATTGGGAGAAGGGAAAGATTGTTGGCTTGATGTTGACACATGATGTCCAATGGGATAATGGGATACTGTTAAGACAGACAGAAGAGGAGAAGATGTCAGAAATGTGCTTTATAATCAAAATCACTGATACATTTAAAAATTAATTTGACACAGAAGACCCTTTGTAAATGGACTATTTGCAATGTATGAATGGTGCTATATACTCCATTTAAAATTATTGAACATTTTCTTACTTATCTTATATTTTGATTATTATTATATGAATGTCATCTTAATTCATATAGAGACTATATGTATGAAGTATGAAAACGAACTCAATAGAAAGTCAAACATTGGTAGGATAAAACATTTGGGAGTTGAAGTGTATTTACGGTTTGGATTGGTGCAACTGGATTCCTTCATAACAGCTTTATTTAAATTGCCCAATCGATTTGCTGGAATCTGCACGTCATCACAGCCTAAAGCGAAAGATTCATTCCCATGAGCACCGGCAAACATGTTGACTCATCTCATATAAATGAAGGACATTGCTGAAGTAATACAGCATGTGCTGAATATGACAAGTCCAAGTAAACCACAACCCAAAATAAGTCCTGACAAAGAGTCATAGTCACAATGTTTCCATTAACAGCACAGATATTTTTCCACAAATCGGCCAATCAAGACTGGAGGACTTAAAAAAATAACACTGCAAATTAAATATGTGATTGAGATTATGATAACCGCCTTTCCTGAATCAAAAAACTGGTTCAAAGCTGAATTTCAAGTATCTTAAAATATATATTTTTGTTATTTGTGATTTTGGTTTGTTTAGAAGTTATATTATGGCTAAAGCTTTGTAATAGAACATGACCCCGTTATTAATCTTAAGATGGACTGTAATGGCACACTTTTATCAAAATAATAATAATAATTCATATGGGCTACATGTTTTTTTTTTTGTGTGTGTGTTTTTTTTTTAATTAAACAGTCAGACATACATACAAACCAACATAGTGCAGTAGTGAACAATTTTGTAATTCCATAATTCCAGAAGTGACATAAGAGTGATTTAAGTGTTTGATCTAAGTGTGTATGTGAGTGTGGGTATGTGTGTGTATGCGTAATCAAAGTAACCATTTATTATTTATAACCATTGTCATTACCATCACCACCCCCACTCCCCACTACCACCATATTGCCAATATTGTATTGTAGTCGATTTTTATTTCCATCCTTTCTCCTATGTACCAATTGCCATTGTCAACCCTGTATAAAATAAAAGATGATATAATAAGATGATAACCTTCCCCCACATCTCTTCAGTCCCTATCTTCTCCTAATTATTATTATTTATTTATTTTTTGTGTGTTATGTGCAATGTCTAAAGACAAGTGCATTAAAAAAAGGAGTAAAGTGCGAGAGTGTCTCAACTTGGAACATAGATGCTGTCCCGCTGAAACCACTTCTCGCCTGTCTTGCCTGCTCTGGTGTTTGTGAGGTTTTCCATATATACATATTCCCTTTTTTTCTTTTTCTTTTTTTTCCCCTATTCTATAGGTGCATTAAAAAGGGCTCCATGTTTTGATTAATGCACCTTTTATAGTTCCAGTTGGAACCTTAACATTTATTTTCAAAGATTTAATTTTAGAGTATATATATACTGTAATTTAAAAGCAAAATCCAACTGTAAAAAAAGACTTAAATTAAGTGCAATCAACTTGGATGTTTAAGACAGTTCAACATGACTTATAACTTATAGAAAGTTGAAAATCTCCTGAATTATTTTGGTTAATTAAAGCAGTGTGAAAACACATTGTCATAACTCATTGATCATATATATATATATATATATATATATATATATATATATATATATATATATATTTACAATGCAGAAAACACTGCAAAATTGTCACTTTTGTGTTGGGGTAAGCTCATACATCCATTGCCTGTTCTTTTGTTAAGTATTTAAGTAAATTTCATTACAGCTACCAATAACGATAATGTTTCAGCTCCATTTCACAGATTCCACCGCCCCACATCAGTGCAAAAAAATGTGATAAACGTGATAACAGATTTCGTCTGGACCTGGGCAGAGCTAACGGTTAGCACATTGCTGCAGAATATCTCTGTTTCGGTTGGGTTTACAGGGCGATTTCACCATCCTAAAATTACACGGCCATGCAAATAAAATATTTCCAAACTCTGTGATCAGTGCCCAAAAACCTATAGTATCATGTTGGCTCAACAAGGTACAAAGTCACTAAAATCTTCCGCTTCGTGTCCGTTAACATCAAACTGATATATTTATATATCAACAAACTGAATTAGTGTGTGTTGTATGGGATGTATCTCTCATACACACACACACACACTGATAGACACACACCTCTGTAACACCCCACAACTGTTTCCAATCATTAGGTTCCTGCATGTCTAGGCCCGGTCGCCTCTGATTGCACGACATTGGATCTCATGAAGGGCAGAGGGAGGGCGATTTACACCCGTGGGCTAAAGGAGAGTCCTCTCCACCTTTCCCTGCTTCCTGCACACTCACTTTTCTTTTCCTTTAATGGTTTTTATTTATCTTTAACAACAGCACATGACTGGTTCAGTCAAATGTGCTCAGTGGAAAATAAGTACACATTTATATTAATTACATTGTTATTACTTATTTACTAACATGTAAATTAGTTACACATTAATTTAGTTATAAGTTCAAAAATGTATATGAAGAAAATAACTTTATTAAACAGATATTTGTTGTTTTTCGCAGTATATATTCGCAGTATCAGGATATTTAAATGTACTGGTGGTTAAGACAATACATACTATGAAAGCACAAAAAGAGGCTACGCTAGCAGGCCTGTGTGAGAGCAGCGAAATATCAGGAGGTCAATGTTGTGTTGAGAAGCATTTAGATACACCTGATTGGTAAGTTTAGAATAAACATGGATCAAATGACAGGAATGTAATTGTCTATAGAATAAAATATCTGTTTTTTCTGCCCAGACGTGTTGTGGTGAAACAATACGTTTTATGAACTTGGAATTAAATAATTCTCAAAATGGCTAATATCTCACAGATTCTTGAGACAACGTTTTTTATGCATTTAATTTCAGATAGCTATTAACCCTCATACCATT